TTTTTTGAGATAGAGTTTTGCTCTTTTTGCCCCGGCTGGAGTGCAGTGGCACAATCTCAGCTCACTGCAACCTCTGCCTCCAGGGTTCAAGCCATTCTCCTGCCTCAGCCTCCCTCGTAGCTGGGACTACAGGTGCATGCCGCCATGCCTAGCTAACTTTTTGTATTTTAAGTAGAGATGGGGTTTCACCGTGTTGCCCAGGCTGGTCTTGGATTCCTGAGCTCAGGCAATCAGCCCGCCTCTGCATCCCAAAGTGCTGGGATTACACGCATCAGCCACCATGCCTGGCCTAGGGTGGCTTTTGCCCCATCTTCCCTCTGTGTCCTCCTCCTCTCCCTGCTTCTGGTGCCCCCATCTTTGTTGAGGCCCTGCGTCCACCCAGACCACGGCAGAAGCCACCGGCACACCCTCCGCCCCGCCCACTCTGCCAGTCTGACGGCCTCGGCACACTCACGGGATTCCGATCTCAAACAGGTTGTTCTGGATCAGCTGCTTCCCCAGCATGATGATGCTGAGCTGGATGCAGAGCTCCATCAGGCAGCCCCCTGGCGCGCACTGTGGACAGACAGCAGCGTCAGCCCCGCCGCAGGGACACCGGGAGAGGGGCCGCTGCCCTGCAGGGAGGCCCACCCCCATGCCATGGGTTGACCTGTGTCCTCCAAAAAAAGACGCTCAGGTCCTAATCCCGCTACCTGGGAACGGGACCTTATTTGCAGAAAGAGTCTTTGCAGATGTAGCCAAGTCAAGGTGGGGTCATGCTGGGGCAGGGTGGGTGCCCACCCGAGGACTGGTATCCTCAGAAGAAGAGAAGGCGCGGGCACAGAGGAGGGGCTGCATGAAGATGGCAGCAGAGGGTGGCGTGGCGAGCGAAGGAACGAGGAGGACTTCCGTGGCCCCCAGAAGCTGGGGGACGCGAAGCGGGTCCTCCCCTAGAGCCGGTGAAGGGAACTCAGGTCGGCTAACACCTCCATGTTGTACTTCCGTCCTTCAGGACGGTGAGACTCAATCGCTGTTATTTGAAGCCACCCAGTCTGTAGGGTTGAGTTTCGGCAGCCCCAGGAAACGGACACACCCCACCTACAGGCTGCTGGGCTTGCGGCTGGGGCTGGGATCGGGGAGCGCATTGCCAGAGAGTAGGCAGGGGCGGGGCGGGGCCGCACAGTGCCTCCTTTTTCCCAGGGCCGCTGCCCAGTCCCATGCACCAGTCACCATCCACTGGCTCTGCACCGCCACTGTGCAGCAGGCAAGCCCACGGGAGGCAGCAGCCACCCCTCTGAGGCCCAATGCCCCTGACTCAGTGGGCCTGTGCCACCCTAGGCCGCCAGGGACCTGGCAAGCAGGTGACAGTCAGACACCTAAGTGGGCTGGAAGCTTAACTTGTCCGAGCAAAGGAAACACCGGGGCACAGTAAACCCGTTTTGTGTTTCAAATAAAACCTAATATACTCCAAACTTGTCTTGGAGGGCCATGCTTTCAAAAAAAGCAATTATATCATTTGCCTGATTTTATAATGTGAGAAGTAGAAAAGCTCCTTTTTAAAGTTTCCTTTCTTGTTAAAGAACAAGTGCTAGCAGCTGTCTGTGAAGCCCTATCCTATGTAGCTGTTAGACACGCCGTGCTTACAGGCACGAGTACATTCTATGTCCTTGTACTTTCACCAAGATATCTGTGCTGGACGTGCTCACAGGCATGTCCCAGCCCTCCATTGCTTTTACCTGTTCAGAAAAGTTTTAAGTTATTAGCCAATCAGGTTTTAGTTTAGATTGTGAGGTCTGGATCCAGCCAACGGAGATCAGACACAGCAGTAAGGGCGACCCCAAATGCATGAGGGATGAATTTGTGTGTTTCCCTTTGTTCTTTGTACTCTTGTGGCAAGATAGCTAGCGAGGTACCCTTCCTGCAGTCCAGGAAGTAAAAATTGCGTTGCTGAAAGATCCTTTGTCTCAGTGCCGATTTTTCTTTGTGGCACCGAGCATCTATTTCCAACACCTATTTCCAAAATATGACTTCTCTAACCTGGGACAATTGCGACAGGGGATCATCTACATCATATAAAAAGGAAAGAGCTTTTCACAAGTTTGGAGCAGACGCCTGTCACTGTGGAGGAGGCCCACGTCTTGGGCTGCCCTGGGGCCTGCATTCAGGTAGTTGAACCTCTAGGGCTGCACTCCAGACAGTCAGATCGCCCTGTACCTGATATCCACCCCATCCTCGATACCTTGCTCCACAGGGTCTTTATCAAGAAGACCCACTCTCTTATTTTCTGATACGCTGAATTACTCTGTGGGTTAGAAATGCTGAGACCGGAACCTCTGACAGGCCCTGAGGCCCTGGTTTAGTCTGATGGAGCCCCTGGTCATGGGACAGACAGTGGAGCAAGTCCATGGCCGAGATAGCAGCAAAACCAGGCTGGTGTAACCAGACCTTCTGTGGCCAGAATGGCTGGGCAGAAACCAAATGGCACCAGCATGGCGTTTGAAGGTAAAGAGATAAGCATTTCAATTTCGAGTTAAAAAATGTAGCTGCGTTCTGTTTTGTCCTCACTAATTCATCTTTTTCTTTCGAGCCAGACCCTTGCTCTGTTGCCCAGGATGGAGTGCAGGGTGAAATCTTGGCTCACTGCAACCTCCGTCTTTCAGGTTCAAGTGATTCTTGTGCCTCAGCCTCCCGAGTAGCTGGGATTACAGGCGTGCACCACCACGTCCAGCTAATTTTTTGTGTTTTTAGTAGACATGGGGTTTCACCATGTTGGCCAGGCTGCTCTCAAACTCCTGACCTCACATGATCCACTCACCTCAGCCTCTCAAAGTGCCGAGATTACAGGCATAAGCCACTGTGCCGGCCCTCATTAATGCATCTTAACCAGAGAGAAATATTGAGTCTCACAGAAAAAGAAAAGAAAACCAGATGTCATTTTTTTTCTTTCCTTAACTCTACAGCAGCTTTATCCTTCTAGGTGATTCTATGCGAACATACCGAATAAGATCAAAGCCCCCTTTCCCCGCCCCAGACATGTCAGGAGAATGGAAAAGGTTCCATCAGGACGGAAAGAAACTACTCTTTGCTGAACAAATATGCTGTGGCTGCTTCCCCCAAGTGCACGGTGTAGACAAATGGTGAGCACAACAGAAGGGGCTGCCGGAAATGAGTAAAATCTCGGTTACCTCTTCCATTCGGAAGTAATGGAAAATGTACACGTAGTCTCCCGGGCGTCCAACAAACCTGAAATGATGGAGAAGGTCGTTAGAGACATGAGCCCTTGGCTTGGTTGGGGGAGAGACCCCCAAGTGGGGACTGTGTGGCATGTGAGTCCTGCAGGCAGGGACCTCAAGGGCATCCACAGGCTGCTCTCCCTGCTGATCGCATCTGCTAAAAGGTGACCACAGTGGCATGGCACTGGTCAATCACATGATATGGAGGAGGCAGCCTTTCGGGGGGTGCTCTGAGATCAGCCCAGCCAGCCCCTTGCAGAAATGGTGGTGGTGGGGACCTTGTCGTGGGTGGGCCGCAGGCCCCGCCACAGCCTGGTATGGCTCCTGAGGGTCCAGGTGTGGAAGGTTCACTCCTCCAGGAGCTGTGAACAGGGCTCAGGTGGCCAGCAGCCGCACTTCCACGCCTCCTCTCCCCTGTCCCCACTCTGGACTCCTCCCTACCTGTCATGGGGGTGCCTGGAGCTGGCTTCTGGGGTTCTCTGCCTGGACTCCCTGCTGCTGGGGCTTCCCACTGTCTGGAGTCCCTGGGGTCCCCTCTGCCCAGGGTCCTCACCACCCAGGGCCCTCACTGCCCGGGGTCCTCACTCCTGGGTCCTCACTGCCCAGGGCCCTCACTGCCTGGGGCCCTCACTGCCCAGGGCCCTCACTCCCTGGTCCTCACCGCCCGGGGCCCTCACTCCCAGGTCCTCACTGCCTGGGGCCCTCACTGCCCAGGGCCCTCACTCCCGGGTCCTCACTGCCCGGGCTCCCTGCCACCTGGGCTCCCTGCCACCTGGGCTCCCTGCTGCCCAGGGTCCTGCTGCTCTGGAGCCTCAGCAGGGCCCAGGCCTTCTCCCTGACCCTCATAGGCTGTGGGTGCCATGGTGTCTGCCCTTCCCTGGGCTCCAGGTGCCCCCCACCCGTAGGGAGGGAGAGTCCTCCCCTGGACCTGGGAGAAGCGAGGTAGGGAAAGGCTGATGATGTCCCTACCGGCCTTTGAAGAAAGCCACGTAGAAGATGGGGGTGTAAGAGTTCACAAACTTCAGCAGGAAGGCCTTGAAGATCAGCCTCTCCTCAAAGCTCTTCTCCGTCTTTGGAACCTCTAGAGGGAGGGGTAGGATGACGCTGAGGCAGCAGCTGGGATGGCCCCGACAGCCTGGTTCAGCCTCCGCCGGCCACTGGCGCCATCGCTTAGTGGGCTCTCACAGGTGCGCCAGGGCCTGTGCTCAGGATCTCCGTTCAGAGACAGGGAGCCAGGGCCCAGAGAAGGTACATGACAAGCTGAAGTTTGCACAGCAAGAGGGAGGTGGCTCGGGCCACCTGAGTCGAGGGCGAGAGCGCCCAGGGTGTGGGCACTCACCGATCTTGGTGAGCCACCGGGCTATGCAGCCATACACCTCGTCCAGAAGGATGATGACCACTAGGTTGATGATGACCGCGGTGGCCGTGACTGTGACCCGGATGTTGGACCGCACGGAGGGGGAGGAGTTCATGGCCAAGGCGGCGGCCATGGAGATTCTGTAGATGATGACGCCAAGGACTATGGCAAACGTTACCGCAATCTGCAGTGGGGGAAGGGGTGCTCTTGGTTGGGGACCCACCCAGGACCCTCCTGGACCTGCCCCACCTGCTCCCTCAGCCCAGCTGTCCCCCACCCCTCCTGCTCTTCTGCGTCAAAGCAAGGACTGATATTTCTTGGTCACCTGCCAAATGCCAGGGGCTTTCTGTGCACTAACCCACCAGAGATAGATGGATGAGGGGCTGGTTTCTGTTTTGTGGAAAAGGACACTGAGGTTCAGAGAGATTACGTAGACAGGCCAGGCCACCCAGCTCAGGAGCTGGGATTTACCAGGCGGATCTGCCCAAGCCTGCAGTTCACAAGATCTTTGTGCTCCCATCTTCCCTGAGCCCAAGTGCCCTGTCCAAGCAGAGCCCAGGACACGGTATGGCCACAATGCCAGTGACTGGTCCCAGAGCAGGCTGACTGTGGGGTGGGGGCTTCTCCCAGAGCAGATGGACTGCAGGTGGGGGCTTCTCCCCCAACCCATGGTGAGCTCAGGGACATCCTCAGACGCTGCGCAGGGCTGAGGCATGCCACCCTCACAGCCACCTCCCAGGGGCCCTCCCCTGGTAAAGGAGGTGGGTGCGGCCTGGGATGGGGCAGGGCTTCAGGGCTGGCTGGAGGTGCATCAGGTCCCTTCTTGCAGTCTGCTCGGAAGCCAGCAGCACCCTTCTGGCTCTCTCACCAGAGTGAGCCCTCCTCTTGCCAAACCTACCGTGGGACCAGAATGTCACATAAAACATGGGCTGGCGGTTGCCTGAGAAACTGGTGGGAGCTGGCTACAATGACAAGCTTGTTCCACACACCGCTGTCTGTCTGGGCTCCCTCGCCCTGCCCTGCCCTGCCCAGGGGTGTGGAGGCCCCATCCTGAGCTCAGCGAGGGCTGGGTAGGAGGGGCACACCCAGAGCCAGGCTCCTCACCCAGGCGTGAATCCGCCCGCAGGACACAGGCTCTGTCTTGTCACCCTGTGTCCCCATGTCCCTGGAAATTGCACATTTGCTCCCATGCAATGGTGCAGAAGGCAGGTCTCGTCCTTGCTCGCACGGTCACGGGTGGCTCCCAGACAGGCCCAGGAGGCCCGGGCTGACCTGTGTGTCCCTCAGTTGCAGCTTGGGATGGGCCTCTTCGCCCCAGAGGGAGTCTGCAGCTTTCGGAAATCTGGAAAAGCTCTTATTTCACGTTCTGGGCAGTTACCACCGGCTTCTGCAGGCATATGCCAGTGACTACATGGTGACCACGCCCTGCCCAGGAAGATGTCTGCAGCCACGCCACGCCCTGCTGCAAGGCGTGGGGACCACTCCCTGGCCAGCTCTGGGGAACGAGGGCTTTCCTTGGAAAACCCCTCAGTCCTGCCAAGAGGCCTCCAGGATGTCTGTCCCTGTGCCAGCGTGTGGAGGTGCAGGTGGAGCGCTGGGCCTGTGGGTGACTCAGCAAGGGAGGCCCTCCACCCCAGTGGGCACGTCCCCTGCCCTGCCATGGGGCAGTCGGGTCCACGACAGGCAGGCTCCCTTCCAGTCTCCCTAGCCCATCTCCCCTCTGGAATGAACCTGCGTCTCCAGGACCAGGAACATGCGGGACACATCCTAGGTGCTCTACTAATATTTGTTCACGGAATCAGACACCCAAGTTGAGGACAAAGCTGTGTCCTCTTCAACCCCACGAAGCCCTTGTGACCGGGGCTTACCAGGATGTCAAGGGCTGGGAAAAGAGCCGGCTAGTTCCCTATTCAATATCCTCTGTCTTTCCTCTACCATCCTGCCTTGCTGAGACGGCAGTGTGCTAATTCCTCAGCCTCCCTGCAGAGCAGGTGGCCAGGTGAAACAGTTCTGACCAATGAGATGCAAGCAGCGGTGTGGCGAGTCTCCTGTGAAAGCTCCTTCAGACAGGGGCTGCCTCCCCCAGCCCATCTCTTCCCTGCCCTTCCCCTTCTTCTGGCCTGGGGGGTGGGAGTGATGTTGGAGGTGCAGCAGCCATGTTGTGACGGGGAGTGGACTCCTAGGACAGGCGAGCAGAAGGTCAGAGAGGCCTGTGACTCTGATGGCATCGTGGAGCCACCAGACCAGCCCTAGATGGGCGCCTCCTTCCCAGCCCCTCACTGGCCCTTCAGTGACAGTGCTGCTGCTTCTGCGGCAGGAGGGGCTGAACCTCAGGCTAGCCTCTGCTGGGTGAGCAATGGGAAGGCTCCGGGTTATCCCCCAGTCCCCTAGCCTGGCGTCTGACCAGAGGGGACACATCCCCTCAACAAGAGGCCAGGTGCCCTCCCACCGAGTCGCCAGAGAGCACAACAGCCCCCAGCCCCCACTGAGGGGCTCCCCTTCTCCAGGTAAGGGGGGAAGAGCAAGCCCCAGCACTGAGGCCACCCTTCTCTGGACTTCTTATGTCGGTCGGGGTCCCTGTTACTGTGCCTGATGGCACAAGGGGACACTGGGTCCTCCCGTTGCTTCCATGATTTGGTTGGGGCCCTTGAGAACAACCAAATCACTCAACCTAGAGAACAAGGCAGCCCCTGCCTCTGTCTCTTCAAGCTCATACAGAATGGCATGTATCTTGGAGCAGACAGTCCAGCTGACGCGTGGCTTCTGCAGGCATATGTCAGTGACGACATGGTGACCACAGCAACCGCCTCTGGCTGGTGCCGGAGGAGAGGCTGCAGCCTTCAGCCTCAGTTTCTGTATCAGTGGGAGGGGGACAGTACCAGGACTGGGTGGCAGCAAGGACTGATGAGACGCTGTGGTGAGGCCCTCAGTGCACAGCTGCCAACCTGGGCCCCTGAGTACCAGGCCTCGGGGCCAGGCGGCTCTGACTTCAAGCTGCGGGGCTGGACGAGGCCAGGGTCGTTTCTGACAGGACCACAGCTGGCTCCGAGCACTTGGCGGGTGGTGGCAGCACAGCTAGCAGGCGGCAGAGGCAGAATCCATTTGGGGTTGAAGTCCCCGGGATTGAAATCCCCTAAAAGCCACAAGTGGTTTGCCCACGAGCCATACCACAGGCTTGTAGCCCCCTGAGTGGCACTATCATGCCCTATCTGCATGTTACTTATTTAGTGATTTTCTTTTTTTAAATTTGAAAAATTTATTTTTACTTAATTTAATGCTGATGCCCGTATCAGGACTCAAGATATGTTGTGGTCACAAAATACCCAGGTTTTCTTTCTTTTCTTTTTGAGACAGGGTCCTGCTCTGTCGCCCAGGCTGGAGTGCAGTGGCTTGGCCACAGCTCACTGCAGCCTCGACTTCTCCGCCTCCAGCGATCCTCCCACTACAGCCTCCCAAATAGCTGGGACCACAGGTGTGCACCACCATGCCAGCTAATTTGTGTATTTTGGTTTTGCCATGTTGCTCGGGCTGGTCTCAAACTCCTGAGCTCAAGCAATCCTCCTGCCTTGGCCTCCCAAAGCGCTGGAATTATAGGTGTGAGCCACCATGCCCAGCCACTTTAATGGTTTTCTTAAGTCTTTAATTTCATCTTAAATGACATCTTTGAATCCCAGGCTTGAATTACCAGATACTTAAATAATCGTGTCTCTCAAAATGAAAGCTG